GAAGCGGTTGAAGACTTCCGCGGCCTGGACGACGGCAATGAGAAAATATATACCCAACGCCTTGAAACGTGGACTAGCAAGAGATCAGAGGCTCGCGAACGGGCTAGAAGAACTGGTGAACAGCCGCAATCTGCACCTGTTGCTGCGCCACAGGATCTCACAGGTGCGGAGGCCGAGCAGGCTGAATGGCTTTTGCCGCATCCAAAGACGCCTGATTTCGTTCTCGACGGGGGTCTACACGTTCCAGGGGACATATACCCCTATCTTTTCGACTATCAAAAGACTGGCGTACAGTGGCTTTGGGAGCTGCATCAACAGAAAGTTGGTGGCATCATAGGCGATGAGATGGGATTGGGCAAGACCATCCAGGCTATCGCTTTCTTTGCAAGCTTACACCATAGCGGAAAACTCAACGGCCCGATCATCATTGTCTGCCCACCGACAGTGATGAAGCAGTGGGTTAATGAGTTTCACCAATGGTGGCCGCCTTTTCGAGTTTCCATATTACACACATCCGGCAGTGGGATGGTGAACATACAAAACGAAACCTTTGAGGAAGATAAACTCACCAGAAGGCTTTGGGATCCAGACTACAAGCCCGACCCAAGGGGATATAAATCTGCTCGAAGCATCTTAAACAGAGTTCTGAAGGAAGGTCATGTTCTTGTCACAACATACGCTGGTCTGCAAACATATTCTCGACTGCTGGCTCCAGTATATTGGGCCGCCGCGGTTCTGGACGAAGGACATAAGATTCGAAATCCCGATACAGCAATCACAATTCACTGCAAGGAGCTACGGACACCTCATCGAATCATTTTATCGGGAACCCCCATGCAGAACAATCTGACTGAGCTCTGGTCGTTGTTTGATTTTGTGTTTCCGATGCGCTTGGGAACACTGGTCAATTTCAGAAACCAGTTCGATTTTCCTATCCGTGTGGGAGGTTATGCGAACGCTTCGAACTTACAAGTTCGGACGGCTGAGCAATGTGCGGAAGTCTTGAAAGACGCCATTTCTCCCTATCTTCTGCAACGATTTAAGATTGATGTGGCTGCCGATCTACCGAAGAAAAGTGAACAGGTCTTGTTCTGCAAACTCACCAAGATACAGCGACAAGCATATGAAAACTTTCTAGCATCCGGTGAGATGGCACAAATCCTGAATGGAAAGAGGGAAGTCTTGTATGGTGTCGACATACTGAGGAAGATATGCAACCACCCTGATTTGCCGGATCACAAAATTTTGTCCCACAAAAGGGACTACGACTATGGGAATGCGACCAAGTCCGGTAAAATGCAGGTCGTCAAATCTCTTCTTGAGTTATGGAGGGACACAGGACACAAAGCGCTCCTTTTTGCGCAGCATAGAATCATGCTTGATATTTTACAAAAGTTCGTGGGGAAGATACCGGGAATCGTACACAGGCGTATGGACGGAAACACACCGGTCAAGGCGCGACAAGGATTGGTTGATGAGTTTAACGAGACACCAGGTATCCAGCTCTTCCTTTTGACTACTAAAGTCGGTGGCCTAGGTGTCAATCTCACTGGAGCGGACAGAGTCATCATATATGACCCGGACTGGAACCCATCAACAGACTTGCAGGCTCGTGAGAGAGCATGGAGATTAGGCCAGAAGCGTGAAGTAAATGTCTATCGTCTGATGGCTGCCGGGACGATTGAGGAAAAGATTTACCACCGCCAGATCTTCAAGCAATTTCTGACAAATAAGATCTTGAAAGATCCAAAACAGCGGCAGACGTTCCAAATGAGCGATTTGTATGACTTATTTACACTTGGTGACGAAGGGCCTACCCAAACTAGTGAGATGTTCAAGGACGCCAAGGTTAAGTGGCAGGCAAATCAAGCTGATACAGAGGACAAGACGTCGTCAATGCCTGAAGCTGCTGATGTTCCTTCTACAAATGCCGCCGTAAATGAGGAAGAGCAAGGTATCAAGAATGTTGCAGGTGTGAAAGCACTTGAACAATTTCATGGAGAAGAAGCAAAATCTGCTCCGTCTTCATCCACCAAAGTCAACTCTGAAGATCGCCTTGTTCAGGGTATTTTTGCCAAATCAGGGGTTCACTCAGCGGTAGAACACGATGATATCGTTGGAGGAAAACGTGTCATTCGTGCAGACCCACGGATGATCGAAGCTGAAGCAAAGAGAGTCGCGTCCGAAGCCGCAAGGGAGCTTCAGCAAAGTGAAGAAACTGCAAGAAGGGTCCCCGTTGGTACACCGACATGGACTGGCACGTTTGGAAGTGCAGGGAGACCTGAAGACATGCCGTCCAGATTTGGTCCCTATGGTGGGACCACGAGCTCTGCCAGGCGTGGTGGGGGCCCATCATCGTCGAGTTTGCTCTCCAATCTCGCCAGTAAAAGCCGTGCGACACCGTCAATGTCGCGAGTTGCTACACCAAGTCTTCCCATGAGCCCAAGCGCTCGCCCACGAGGTAAAGAGTTCATGGTCATGGTGCGTGACTACATGATAACCCATGGCGGTTCCGTTTACACTCAGATGTTGATCGATCATTTTAATCGCTTCTGTGATACCCCACGAGCTACTGCTGAATTCAAAGAGATCTTGAAAACCATCGCTATCTTGGAGAAAACAGGTAGCAGGGCAAGAGGAAAATGGATGCTGAAACCCGAATATGCAAACAAAAAGTGATTTGCATGTGGAATCTAAATGGCACATGTTCATTCAATTATTCGATGCTCGACAGAAGACAGGTTGAGGGGTACATGCAATCAAGCCCTTAATGGCCAGTACGACTTTCAATCGACTTCGAATGAAGACTCGGAGATAAAAGTCATTTGGTCTCATCCTTTCTTGCTGTGGAATCTGGTGGGCTCAACACCGACAAGGTTCTTGATAGCAGTCGTGTTTTTCTTAGCGGATTTTTGAGTCGCGCCGCCAGCTGCGGTACCGCCATGGGCGCGAGATGCTTCAGATACATTTGAAGCAGCTGTCACGGGGCGAGAAGCAGTAGTTGCTACGGTCTTATGGCTAGTTCCTCTGGAATGGGGGGTCTCGGACGCTCCATGGGCTGTTCCAGCATGGGAGGCGGGAGCCCCCGAATGCCCGTGGCCAATTGCTGCAGTACGCGAAGCGGCAGAAACAGCTGCATCTCCAGAAACAGCACTTGCAGGAGCTTTTCCAGCACGCGAGGCAACAGCCCCTAAATTTTTTGCTCCAGTGCGCGTGGAATCAGTCTTTCCGCTTTCACGCGAGTCAAGGGTACCTTCAGTCTTTGTAGGTATTGCAGTCCGCTAGTAGGCTTAGCAGTGATGGCTTTTGAGGCGGCGCTCTTTGTTGCAGTTGAGAGGCCGGCCTTGTGCGCATTTCGGTGAAGGTCCTTGGAACCAGAACAATGGCCCTGGCCGTAGCAAACTCCATGAGAAGGCATCGTGGGGATCAGTGGAGGTTGTGGCGGTGTGAGGAGGACGGGGGGAGTGGGGAGAATAGAGGTTATGGAGGATATGGCCCGCATAGCAGGCATTGCCTCTACAGGATGTACGGCATGGTCAGTACCACCAGCACCGCTATCGGTGATCTTGATGTCGATGACTTTGAGCCCACATCTAGGACAGCTGATATCTCGCTGATAGAATCCCATATCGATTTTGGATATACCAATCTGTGCTTTTCGGTTAACTGGCTTGTCAATATTCCTGTGTCAACAACGGGCCTACCGGAAGCTTCTCATATGGAAGGACACAATTTGGGGATTACTGTCATCGATAAGTTTGCTCAGTTGAATCAGTGTCGTTCATATCAGTCCATGAACAAAAAGCTGGAGTTTAGGCATGCGACTTCGCTGCTTTTATAAAGACATTTCATTACTTTTGTGATTCTTTCTCTCTTATTCAGCGATGTTATCACGAAAAGCGTTCTCATCACACGATTCTCCCAGTCCCCGACATTTCAAACATTCAACTCTTGCCAAAATGTACCTCGTCCCCCAATAGACGTGAGACACCGAGAAGCAGACTCAATGGAATTGTTCGCGTGTGATAGGTGACTCCTGGTCATAACGCATAGAGCACGCTTTGTGGATTGCCCCTTTCTAAGGGGGGGGGGCTTGTGATGATGAGATGAAGTGTCGTAGAACCTCAGGTTTTTGCATACAAAGCAGTTGAAAGAATGACCGTGCACCCTAACATAACCGCTCAGCCCTAATGCTAGTAGACCCCGTTCACACGCACTTTGCAACGGACAGATCTCCTGATATAGGTGCATGAACGAGCTTCTCTGTAATCAGAGAGGAACAGTCTGGAGTTCTGCGACCTATTCAGTATAATTCTCAAAGCAATCAACCCGAGCAGAAAAAGTTCATTATACAGTATCAGTATGAGCATCTGACTACGAACCATCTGCCCCTGAAACCACTTAAGATGCTGCCCGGCAATGACTGAAAATTGAAAATTTGTGCATTAAACCTCGATGCAAAACGCGTGTCTGATTGCAATAAATAGAGTCGCCATCTACAATGCCGTTGTCGTAATCGCAGCCTTTAGCTGTGGTTGGCGATTTCACGCGTCGACGATATCTAGGGTGAAACAGTATGTTCGCTCGCGGCCATTTCTCGAACCCGTGATAATGCCGTTTCCACGTATGACTTGAGCAAGTATTCTCTTCTCACTCTGCTTCAGCCAAGCCAAGAAGCACCGAGCACGCCTCGAAGTATGTTGCATCCGTGTCGCTAAGTCATTCACCCTTTTTGCAATTATTGTTGCGAGTAGAGGAAGGTGTGTTATCTCGATGAATCCAGACGGCAGAACTGTTAACTGCGTAGTCCGTTTTTTAACCGCATAAAAATCAAGTTTCAAGCGGAACACGCAGTGCGCTCCTCTGCCACCGCGTTGGCAGGAGTCATCGTGTGCGTGACTCAGGAGCAGCAGCGCGGTGCCGTCTGGGTACGAGATAAAGTGTGCTTATGTGAGCCTCAGAAATATATGTATCCTGACTTTGCTTGAATAATGTGATAAGCGACTTTAGCTCAGTTGGGAGAGCGTTAGACTGAAGTTAACTTCAGCCTGCTATCTAAAGGTCGCCTGTTCGATCCAGGCAAGTCGCATCTCTTTTTGGTCCCTTTTTTTTTCTCGGCTCAAAACCATCAGTCAACATCAACCGGACTTGACTGACCGTCCAGTTGTCTCTGACCAAAAGTCCAGAGTGGGTATTCAAATGGTTTCAGTATGAATGAAGGTAGGTAAATACACGGGAATTGAAAATGGACATGGAGGTATGCAATATAATGTACAGGGCAATAAGAATTTATACAATGTGATGAATGAAATGGTAAATGTAGAAATCACTGGGGAGCAAACGACGCTTTTCCACGTTTCAGTCTCTCCTCAAGTGCTCTGACTCCTCCCGGAGTGGGTGCTGTCCGCGTCCTTGCATGTTCCCGATATGTGGACTCGTTACGGCGTTGATGTTGTTGTTTCGTGAACGCTTTCTCGTTGTATGGATAGATGTCATACAACCTTTCATCTTCGACATCAAGCTCATCTTCACGACGGACGATCTCTTCCGTGTCGCGGGGCTCACGGGGATTGGTGAGTCTCTGACGTAGCGTTTCACGCCATCTCCTGTCTGCTTCGAAGATAGCAAGCATATCCTCCTCATCTGGCTCAGAAGTGAACCGCATTAACGGCCTTATGAACGGCCTATCCCTTTTAGGGACCAATCTTCCATCTGGCGATGTGAGCTCCACGGGTGTCGTGTCGGCTCGCCGTCCACCAGGTCCGAGAATACCACCCTCCCAGACCGGACTTTGTGTGTCGATTTCCTTGGGAGGAGCATTAGCCATTGGTGAAAGGCCCTTGAGCAGCACCTTTTGGTACCGCTCGTTAAGTACAGGCATGTCACCGAGGGTCATCAGCGTCCGTGGTCCAACTTCGCCAAGTTTGCTTAATTCTGCTCCACCGTCGACAACAGCACGAGCCTGGAAGGAAAGATATGCTGATGCAAGGTAGACCATTGCACTGTATGTAGGCTGCATGTAATCAGGCCGGAGTTTGGCCCATATGCGGCGTCCTCTCTTACCAAGCACATTCAATGGCTTTCCTCGCTCGATAGGGCGCTTCTCAATAAGATCCATTGATGGTGGCACATCGCGTGGCCGTTTCGCATAACCGCGCACAATATCTTTCCAACGAGGGAAATTGCGGATGAATAGCTTTTCGAAGTACCGAAAGGCCAATAGTTGGTCTTCTGGATTGTCTGACAGCGCCAACAACTTGACGTAGAGTGACCAATTGTCGGTTGTTAGGCCAAATCCAGCGGCCTCGACGTCTGATATCAGAGCTCTGATTTGTTCATATTCGCCTTGTGAAGCCAATGACCGCATGTAAAGGGAAATGCAGTAAGACAAAGAGAATTTGAACGCGGGAATGATCACTTGGGCTGCATTAGAAGGTGATTTGGGCGCAGGGGTCGAGAGTACCTTCACGCCTTCAAAGACCGATCGCCAGCAAGAGGCAACAGCCTCGTGATTCCCTGCTCTCAAATAAGCCAACATAAGCACTCGGAAGGTATTAGGTGTCGTATGAACATCGTAAGATCGTAAATGATGCTGCTTCTCCTTTAGTTTTTCGAATATTTCTGCTACTTTATCAAGCGCTCCATGCCTAGCATATGATTCCATCAGATTCTCATAGAATAGATGAGGATAGCTTGTTCTGGTGCTTTGCCGATTCATTCCTGGTTGCGGAGTGTTCGAAACAATATCTTCAATACTTGACTGAGCCATTATGGCATCCAGAAACTGCTCAGCATGTGCCAGCACAAGGCCCTGACCACTCTCATAGTGACCTTGTTCTGAGTATATTTGAAGGTCTCGAGCAATCCGTGACTTCAAGACAGTGAGATTGGCACTTGGCCCAGGCTGCCCGAATCTTTCCTCGATCTCCTTGTAGATCACATAAACCATATCGCGATTGCGCTCTCTAAGATAGCCCCCTAAAATGATGGCGTAGTGAAACTCAGTTGCATGTAACCTTCGACTGCGATGAAGGCGCTCAAGAATCAGAACTGCAGAGTTCGTGTTTCCCGTCATCGTCAATGCAAGCATTAATACACCATAGGTCATGCTATCAGGAACAACTCCCAAGGAAAGCATCTTTTTATGGACCCGTGTCAACGAATGTGTATCCATCACTGCTGCATACTTGCTCAATAAAACATTCCATACAGGCGTGGGAGATCCCTCGAGGTCCAGTTTAGTGATTCGTTCAGCAAGTGCTTCAGCAGCAACGTAGCGCTCGTCTTCGCACAGAGCAGAGACCACAGGCTTCAGAAGCGGACGGTCAACGTCAATGTTCAGCTCTTTGAATTTTTCAAAAACATCAAGTAGTGTAGTGATGTCTCTTCGGCGAGCAAGTATGTTTAGCAACGTCGTAAATGTGCGAACATCAGCCTGTACTCCGCTTTCAAGCATATGCTCGACAACCCAGAAAGCACCGAGAATGTCATCGTTGACACTATGAGCTTTCAACAAGATGTTCCAAATAGCCGTATCAGGCGTCAGGTGATAGTCTTCTCTGATCTTGTCAATTTGCTTCTTGACTTCGTCGACTTTGCCCAAGATGCCATATGCGTTTATAAGTGGGGTGACGATCTCAAGGTTTGTCGGGCGTCCATGATCTCTGATATACATATCAAGCAGTCGTTCAACGTCCTCAATCTTGCCTTGCCGTGAAAAGATTTTGACGGCATGAAGGTAGGAGTGATAAGGCGGCTTTCCATAGAACCGCCGCGAGTCACTCAGCAGAGTATATATGCCATGGGAGATATTCAGCCTAGATAATGTGACGAAGAACCCCATCATAGTCGTTTCTGGCACCTTGACTCTCGGAAACCGCTCTCGATAAGAGCGATACAGAAGCATTGACCGCGCAGTCCCCTCGGACCTGTCGATTTGCTGTAATGTCGCGAAAGCCCAGTAGTAATGTCGAATGTCAAGGATGCTCAAGTCCCACAAACCATCAAATATAGACAAAGTCATATCCATTGGCATGACACCCATCGATTGTTTACTCGACACGACGGAAAACACCAAAAAATTGGTAAGTGGCTCCAAAAAATTAACCAATGCGAGCTCGTGCATCTTTATACCATGGATGATATCAAGAATCCTTTCAGGGACCTTGACCATCTCAGTCTGGTGATGTTGCCATAGTAACTGGAGCTGACCCTTGGTGCCTATGCGTTCTGGTTTATAGCGATATATTCGGGAGGCAGTACTCCAATCCTTCCTCGTCACATGCACGAAGAAGGCAGTATGGAAGCACTGGTCAGCTTTTCCATTTTGAAGTGCCTCACGACATATATCAACGATCTTCGCACTGCCACCTGCAATCGAGCCCTTCTCATCTTTGAGCAATGCTCGGGTGATGTTGAGATAATCCAATTCTGACGGGTTGTGTATGGTTTCGAATAGGTACATGCACCGGAGAATATCGTCTGGCTGGTAGGAATGGCATTGATGAGCCAAAATCCTTGACGCTAGAGCTGCGGGCGAACCAGCCTGCTCAAATAACTCCCAAAGCCGTGAATATTCATGGGTATGTTCATGTCTGAGAATATGCTCAAGATCATTGGGCAGTTCATCACCAAGTTGAGCAGCAGACTGAGGCCCTTTGCGGTCTTCGTTGCCGAAGCCATTTGACGATGATGATGATGATGATGATGATGATGGAGATGACTGGTCGGGCGGTGCTGGTGTTGTCCTAGATCCGTTGGCCAGAGCATCGATGACATTTCCGAGGAATGCTGTTTGTCGTCGAACATCTGCTGAGGCAAGATTCCGCTTCTCATCAATACTGTTTGGGACTGACTCCGCGGGCGTCTGCGGCATGGGACTTTGTTTGAAATGTCCCATACCTTCATTCCATTGCGATTTCAGGGGCGGGTGTGCGGAGGAATTATGAGACACTTCAAAAGGAGTTTGAGATATCGCGGCTTGGATAGAGTTGATTAGGACATCATTCTGCATGACGTCTGGATAATGGCGGGGCTGTGACGTGCCTCTTTGGGTAACTGAGGGTATATGTGAGCAGTCTGTTGATATCAAAGGTGAGTCGAGCGACTTGTCCGATATGTCGGAATGATGTGTATTTATGGCAGACTCGTTTTGTCGCATATCTGCGGAGGAGAAGGAAAGTGCATGTTGAGCAGGCTTTGAAGAATCGGCGGGTTGATTCTTTTGGCGACGCAATTGGCCTGTGGACGATGATAAGCGACTGAAGGAAGGAGGATGTGACGACGACTCAGAGATCGCTGATCGGATATCAGCTAAAAGGGCATCGTGCCGTCTGATATCAGATTCTAGATCCTTGTGCGTTCTTTCATTGGAGTTGCTTTGACTAGCAGTCTCGCACTCCCCATCGCATCCAATTGTCTGCGGCTTAGTACGATTCGAAAGGACATGATACAGTGTGAATATGAAAGCATTTGTCCGTTGTATATCATACGAGCTAGTTCCTCGAATGGTCTCGTCCTCTGCTGTGACTGTTGTTGTGGGCGTTGTGGGGGTATCCTGGTTGCCCCTGCGTATCCGCTTTGAGGGCCGATAAGACAGCACATCGTACAGCGTCGCTATGAGTGCGTGTGTCCGTCTCAAGTCTGCTTCACAGACGGTCTGAGAATTCGAATCTGGAATTGCAGCCAATCTTGCGTCGTCTCCAGTAGCCTCCTTATCTTGTCTGGGTTTTCTTGCCCTTCTCTTTTTCGGTATATAATTCTGCTGTGCGGTCGATACCGAAGGATGGTGTACAATCACTTCCGCTAGCGCAGCTAGTAGAGCGTCATTTCTTCGTATGTCTAGTGGTCGAGATGATTCTTTGGCCTCCTTCTCTTTCAACTTTTTAGATTTTCGCTTTCTTGAAGCGGTTTCAATGTCTCCCGGAGCATCCCCTGTGTTCTCATCACCTGTAGCAGCAGCTTTCTTCCTCGGTCTCCCTCTTTTCCTGCTCTTGCCAGATCCATCGGCACCCTCAGCTGCAGTCGCATAGCCTCGAGTAGACCCCACCGAAGAACTCAGTGGCAGTCTGGAATGGCGCCCCTCAGGCA